AGCTCCAGGCTGCAGAAGGGGGGTTAAACGTGCCGGGATTCACGGAGCGAAGCCTCCTCGGGTGGGAGGCCAGCTGGAATGGGGCGCCCTCCGGGAGGAGAGGGAGCCAGGGGGCTGGCCCCGCGCCTTGCAGAGTGCCAAGGTGTGCGCGGTGGTGGCCCTCTCCGTGGAGAGGGCTGGCTGGCAGGCAGCTGTCCGTCCCAGGCCGACTGGTGCACTGATCCTGGCTCCCTGGTGCGGATTATTTTGTCGCAGGGAACGTGGGCGCTGCGGAGATGCCTCTAGGCAGGTCCAAGTGCAGTGCGGGCTGTTCGGAGAAGTCCTGCTTCTCCCGTTGGGGTGGCAAAGCTGCTCTGTGAGACAGCAAGGGTGCTGGGAAGGCTGAGTGCTTGAAAAGCCCCACGTGTTGCTGTGTTGCCCTCGTATGTGAATGCATCTGGGTGATGTGCTCACGGGTTTTCTCGCTACTTTTAGCTTGTTTTTCTCATAGGTCCTGGGCTGGTAGCAAGGTAGGGGACGCTTGGCAGTGAGCTGTGCAGCGTGTTGCACTGGACGTAACAGAAAGTTGAATATTGCAGGCTGCACTGGCTCCAGTGAGCTTTGAGCATCCAAAGAAGTGTTTCAGGTGGCAGCTCTTCTTTTTCTTGCCTCAGCACTGGCTGTGGTGTGGACCAGCCCCAGCGCACGTGCCTGCTAGCAGCAGCGCACAAGAGCATTGCATGGGCTTGACCCAGAATGTAATTTTAGCTCTGTTCCCAAGTTCCTAGGTTATTTTGCTGTCTACAGAGGGCATTAAGGGTATTTATAGGAATAAAAAGCCATCCGTTTGTCTGGGCTCCCCCTGTACCTCCCACCTAATCTGGGTGGGAATTGGAGCTCGGGTTTCAGGGACTAATCGCAGACTATAGGCGGCCTGGCCTCGCAGTGCTGTAATCTCTGGATATAGCCGTGGCCACGGCTCCTCCCCGGCAGGGCTTGTGCCGGGGAGGCCGTGTCGCTTCCCCGCGTTATTCCTGCGCTGAGGAGGCGAGGGGACGTAGGGGCGCGGGCAGAGCCAGACGGACGGGTGCGTGTGCGCACGCAGGGCTGTGCGGAGCGGCGGCACGGAGGCGGGCTCGGCCGCGGCGTCCTCGGCGTTCGGTAGGGTCCCAGGGTGGTGATCAGCGAGCAGCCGGGAAGGGGCTGCTCCCGCGGAGGCGCCGGCCACGCTGCTCCACGCAGGTGGCTGCAGCGCTCCATGTGAGCCTGCAGCATCCCGGGCTTTCCTGCTGTGCCTCCCCACTGCTCTGCTCGCACTTGCAGCCCCTCGGCGCCAGGGTCTGGCACTGTGCAGTTGGTGCCGAGTTTCTTCACGGTTACAGGATACATCGGAGCTCTGGGGGTGGGTGGTCGTGGCCCTGTCCTGGTAGCCAGCTCAAACTGGGGTCTTGGGAATTGAGAAGAGCTTGTTCTCCTGTGGAATCCAAAGGCCTTGCTGGGATGTGCCGAGGGCTGGAGTCCTCAGCCTGCAGCACAGGTCTAGGGCTTGAGCAGGCAAGGAGCGGGAGGGTCAGCAGCTCGTTTTCATTGAGCACTTTATCCTCTTGAGCTTGGTGGCCCTGCTTAGGAGAGGAGGGTTCATCTGTGCCCTCTTGTACTGTCTGGGCTCCCTCTTTGGTCAGTGAGGCATTTTTAGGTGGTCTGAGCTTGAATCAGATGGTTTTGGAGGTGCCCCTTTCTCTGTACTGGCTATAGGGGGAGGCAGGTACCTGGCTTGGATGTAGAGCTCCAAAGTTTGTTGGGTCAGGTGAGCTATCCCTGATGGATCTTCTTATGCCTGGAAGGAACAGGAGTTACTGCAGGCTGCCCTGTGAAGCCCTTTGGATTCCTGCTGATGGATTCAATCCTCTCCCTCTCTGATGCAGGGCTATGATGTTGGCCAGGGGTCTGATCCTGGGTTTTATGGGGTTTTCAGTCAGGTAGATGGGTGAGGCTGCTGCACAAAACGGGGGCTGTGCCCCCAGCTGCCTTATATCCTGCCTAGACTTTGCAGACGGTGCTGGGGTTGCTGGGGCAAGGACAGCCAAAACGTCTGATCTCTGCATAGAGTGGTGGTCCCTGGTGCTCCAGCTCTTTGGGGGCATCCCAGATGACACCCTCTCCTTGCACTAGGCCATGCAGGTTACATCTGAGCCTGTGTTTAAAGAGCCCAGCGTGGGGCTTGCCCGGATCTTATGGGAAGCAGCAGGGGTGTGAACAAGCAGGTACCTTTGGGCCTTGAGGTTTTTTTATGGCTCTCACCATCTACTCGCTTGATTCTTAGTGTTGCTGTTTTTTCTGCTCTGATTTTACAGGAGCCAGAGCCGCTTTGACTGTATTGAAGCAAGATGTGTGGTGGGATGGTCTTAGTAAGATAGGCGAGCAGTTTGGTTTGATTCTCAGCCTTGCTTTTCGGCGTGCCAGCAGGATGAAAGCCTGGAAGGCGGTGCGGGTTTGAATTATAGGCTAGATAGACCCTGTGAGGAGATTTAGCCTATTTGGGCCCTGTTTGTGGAGAGATTTGATCTCTCCTGGATGTGTGCGTGTCCCTCCCCATTGTTAGTGCCACCGGCTTCCCTCTGTGGGGACAATAGGGCCTTGAATCTTCTTCTGTAATCCTGCCTCTCTTATCTCCCTGCTCTTCCTTGGCCTGTGTCTTAGGCAAAGCCCAACTGTGGCAAGCAGGAAGGGTGGGAGGTCTGGGGAGAGCCAATTATGTAAATGGTGCATTGAGAGGTGCTGTGTAAATGAACGGCCCCTTTCTGAAGTTTGAGCCTGCCAGTGGCCTGTCCCGGATGGGATGCAAGAGGAGGATGCTCACCGCAGAAATGCTAGGATGGTATAAGCTGCTCTCTGCTTTGCCGTCTCCTCCTGGCAGTTTGTGTGGCAAAGTCAGCAGCGTGATGTAAGTTAAGGGCGTCAGAGTTTTCCCTTTTAGTTTTCTTGATGTAGGTGGCTCTGCAAGCACCGCTGAAACTTGCTTTGCACCCAAAAGATCCTTTAGGGAAGAGAGATGGTGGGATTGAGGACATTCGGGAGTAAGGACAGCCCCGCAAGTACTTCCCCTGTGCTGTTTTTGGTTTGGCACGCTCCAACCATTTATTCGTTCAAATCAACATTGCCCCCAGGGCAGAAGCAGAAAGCGGAAGGACGATGCGAGTTACACGGTTTGCCTCTAATTGGATGGGCTGTGTGAGGGGAGCGGGGAAGAACAAGGTTCCTGGCTGCAGTTCAGGATGTTAAAAGCGTCCAAAGAATTTTATATCCGAAGGAGAAGAGAAAAGAAATGCAAACTGAAACCGTCAGCTAACAAGGGCAATGTGCGAGGAATGCTTTTCTTGACAGATCCCTTGCACGCTGCATCCCTTGACAGCTTGCTCAGACTGTCCTCCTTGTGATAACTATTCCAGTGACCAGACAACAGATTAGGAGGGGAACTACTTGTAACAGCTGAGCAAGGAAGAGGGAAGGACCCGTGCCAGTTTGACTGCCCTGTGTTGGAAGAGATGCAGCTGCTGTGCAGTTCCTGGAACTGCAGATGTGGCTTTTGCAGCTCTCGGAGCTTTTCTGAGGTCTGCAGGTGGAATGAGCCTGTGCCAGGCCATAAAGCTGCTGGACCAGCGTCACGCTCTCTGTGGTGGCCTGGGAGCTTGCAGGTAGCAGTCATGGGCTTGCTCTTGCTTTGCAACGTAACTGGATGCTCCAGGGACAGCAAAGTCTGGCATGTTACTTCAGGGGAAATGGGATGTGTTTCAGCGCTGAATCGGCAGTTCACCTGAAGCTTAGGTGCAACCCCCTGGTGTTGGGTGTACGTGTTGCTACCAAGCTGTAGCCCTACAGATTTTTAGCTCCGAAAGCTCCTTGGCTGATGTGTGGCATTCCCAGGCCAAGACAGCAGGAGTCAGACAGGCGAGCTGCTGCCATGGGTGGTATTGTTGGCCCTGCAGGGTGGGAGGATCCTGGCGGGGAGAGGAGCCTTTTAGGCTGCCCCAAAAGCACAGCAGTAATTAGCAGTCAGGCTCGGATTTTGTGCAAGTCTGTCGTTCTGCTGGGGCCCTTCCTTCTGCTGGCAAGGAGCTTAGCAAGTAGCCCTTGGCTTTGTCCGCCGTCTGCCAATGGAAATGGGAGCTGAAGAGGCAGGAAAGTGGATTTAAAAAAGAAGAAAAGGTGGGGAGGAAGTGGTTTGTGCTGGGCCAGCTGTGATGGGGGAGTAGTTTGTAAATAAAATCTCTTGTCTTAAAAGAAGACTTAAGCCCAGCAGATCGACTCAGCGGTCAAGCTCTGATTTTTCTCAGCGCTACGTGATAATCGTTAAGCACAGGGGACTCTTTGTAAAGTAGAATTGGGCAGGGGGAGGACAGAGCAGGATTTAAATTTGAAATTGGACAAGGGTACAAAGCCCCTTAGTTCACGTTTCTGCTGAATGCAGCTGGAGCTGGACTTGACAAGACGCTTGCCGGAGCTCGTGGTAAACGTTTTACGGTGCTGTGTATCAACCCGATTGATTCTACTATGCTCGAAGGAGTGCAGATAAACTGGCTTAAAGATTCCCCTGCTGAAAGTGATAGTATCATCATTTATCCTAGAGAAGACGGATTTAGTTGCCTGACACTTACTTGGCCATGGTGTGCTTTGCAGATTTCACACTCGGGGATGATAGCCAACCTCATGATGTCAGACGTGAGCTGTAATTAAAAAAAAGCACAGAAAACTAAGCTAATTTTGTACCTCTTTTGTCAACCAGATGGGTTTTGTTACATGTCTTTTTGATGGTGGTAGTGGTGAATGTTGTTGTCCTTTCTCCATGGATCTCTTTAATGGAAAGTGCTTTATAGAAATATAGCATCTCCAGCACAGTGTGTCCTATGTGTGGCATCCTCTTGGCAGACAACATGCGCTTGTTGTTAAAAAGACAGAGTTAGAAATACTCCTGCTAACTCAGGTCTCTCCTTTTGATCCTATTTTGTCTGTAGGTGACTTGAATTCTGAACTGAACGAACATGAGTGCCCTTGATTTGGCTTCAGTCCTTGATTTTCTGGAGATGGCCAACTTCACAGAGATCAACTGGACGTGCCACAACGGCGACTGCATCACGGTTGATGCCACAGCGTGCCCTGGCACGCTTAACAAAAGCGCCTTGCTCTACACCCTATCCTTCTTCTACATTTTTATCTTTGTCATAGGGCTGGTGGCCAACTCTGTTGTGGTGTGGGTCAATCTTCAAGCCAAAATGACTGGCTATGAAACCCACCTCTACATCTTTAACTTGGCTATTGCCGATCTGTGTGTCGTCATCACCCTTCCAGTTTGGGTTGTCTCCCTTGTCCAGCATAACCAGTGGCACATGGGAGAAATTACATGCAAGATAACTCATCTCATATTTTCCATCAACTTGTACGGAAGCATCTTCTTCCTGGCGTGTATGAGCGTGGACCGTTACCTCTCCGTTGCCTATTTCACCAATTCCAGTAATCGCAAGAAGAAGATAATACGCCGCTGCATCTGCATCTTAGTGTGGCTTCTTGCCTTCAGCGCCTCTCTCCCAGACACCTATTATCTTAAGACGGTCTCTTCCAGCAATGAAACCTACTGCCGTCCCGTGTATCCAGAAGAGAGCTTCAAAGAGTGGCTGATAGGCATGGAGCTCATCTCTGTTGTGCTGGGCTTTCTTATCCCTTTTCCCATCATTGCTGTCTTCTACTTCCTCCTTGCGAAGAGCATCTCTGCCTCCAGTGACCAAGAGAGGAAGAGCAATGGGAAGATCATTTTCTCCTACGTCGTCGTCTTTCTTGTCTGCTGGCTGCCCTACCATGTGGCTGTCCTTCTTGACATCTTCTATAGCCTCCATTTCATACCCTTCAGTTGTCAAATGGAGAACTTCTTGTATGCCACTCTTCACATCACCCAGTGTTTCTCCCTAGTCCATTGCTGTGTCAACCCCATCCTGTATAGCTTCATTAACCGCAACTACAGATATGAGCTCATGAAAGCCTTTATTTTCAAGTACTCGGCCAAAACTGGTCTCACCAAACTTATCGATGCTTCCAGAGTGTCAGAAGCAGAATACTCTGCTCTGGAGCAAAATACCAAATGATTGCGATTCCCTCAAGATGCTGCTTGGACTTCTTTTTTTTTTTTTCTTTTCCCCTGTGTTTGTTATGAACGGGGCACGAGTTACGGCCTACAGAAGAGAAATAGCAAACTGTAATTTAAGAGCGGAATCGGGCGCAAAATGGAAGCGGTACCAAAACCAAGCATTTTGTTGGTGTGTTTTGTTTCATCTCCTGCTAGCCCAGTCTGGGCTGGTCAACACTGCTATGCAAATGGAAAAGACTTTGTAGCAAACAAAGCCATTGTGTACCGTAGATAACATGCGTTTTCAAGATAAGCTTTTTCTTCCATGTGTAGATTCCCTCTTGGTCTCATTGTATATGTTATATATATAGTCTGTTGTATTTAAAAGCTCAAGACTTTATTTTCTGGCTATTGGTGTACCGTATACAATTGTATTTGAAAATTAAATATATTTTTATCATGTATTTGAAGTATATTGCTGATGAGTGTATCCGGAGTGCTGTAGTCTGAGTGTTAGATTGCTGTTTGGTTTTAACTCTCCTAGGTAATAGGGTGGCAATAAATAGCAGAATGGAAATGAGATCTCTTATGGGCATCCTCACTGGCCAGAACACTTTATCACTTTATTGACCATAGCTCTATATGGTGGTTGTACCCATGTCTGGAGCATAAAATGTATGTACTGTAGAATAGTTACCGTCATGTTAAAGTTAACAGTATTGTAAGAGTTGTTAACTCCTACAGTGTGCTTCACAAAGCTGTATCCTTATGCGCAGAATGAATGATACTACTTTTGAGAGTTGTCTCTATTTGTAAGTTATTTTTGTAAAATAAAGAGCTGGAAAAAAACTATACATGCCAGTGGTTTGAGCTGTTTCCCATCCTCTGATCTCATTCTTCGGGGGAAAAAAAGTCAAAAAGAAGAAAACTCGGGGCCACGTCCTGTCCTTCCTGTGGTGCAGCAGCAAAGAGGTCTGTAGTTGGTTGCGCTTTCATGGTGTGTGTGGATGGCAGGCAGAAAGTGCTGAATGTGGCACGTGAGACGGGACTACTGAATGGTACGAGGGAAAGGGCTGGGTGGAATGGGACTGGACAAGAAGGGCTTGAGCAAGAGTGGTTTGGGAAGGCAAAGCCGATGCGCTTTTAAGGTCAAGGCTGTTGGGAACACTGAAAGGCTCTGGCTGTAGCTAAGATGTCAATACTTGGAACAAAAAACAGGAGCACGCGAATGGTAAGAAAGTTTGATCTAATTGTGGTTTTTGCTTGTGATAATATTCAGAGGGGAGCGCTCGTAAAAGCATTAAATCCATTTTTTATCTGTTCATGACTTTGCTGTGGTTTGCACTGAATAGGCAGTGTCACACTGTCAAAGTGTGGGGCATGATTCAGCTGGTGCCATATGTCTGCAGTAGATCTTCTTTCAGCCCATGAAGCACTTGTATTGTGGTCGTCTTCATCCCAGGACAAGGTAACTAATGTTAAATTGATGATATCTCACAGCCCGTCGTTGACTTGCTGTTGCTGTTTTGCATGTCTGTGCAACTCTTGCTTTGCTGCGAAGATGACTCTTAAGCTCCTATTACAGAGCGTGCCCTTGTCCCTGTGAAATCCCAGTAGCCAAACAGTTCTTGGTATGTGAGTGTATTTTGCTTCTTTCTATCTGTGGTGGTGAAGATATCTCAAAAGAAGATACCCCAAAAAATAAATGGTTGCCAGAGTGACGAAGGTGTTTTTAAAAAGCACAGGTTCATCTACAGCTGGAGGAGCCTGTTGCAGAGAGGGGCCTTTGCCCATCTGTCAGCATGTTTAATACCCCTGCACAGACACTCCCTAGAAAAGTTGCTTATTTGGCTTTTGAGACTCCTGTTAGCCTTTCTTATGGTCCTGTAAAGAAAGTGCTCCCTCATGCTGTGGCTAAAAGCAGAGGTGCTGGGTTAATGCTGAGCTGGCTGTCAAGGGTTGCAGCCGTCCCTGCCCAGGACCCATCCTCGGGTCCACGTGTCCTTCCTCACGGACAGGGTCGCCTGCTGCTTTTGGTCATGACCCCCGGCAATGTGTTTCTGTGCAGATGTTTGTAGCAGCGTAGCTTGGTTCAAAGCCTGCCCTGGGGCAGTGTGTTTTCATGCAATGCTGCGGTCGATCTAGAGATTTGAGTTGGCTCGGAGCCTCTGTTGAAAAGTTCCCAACTTCCCTTTTTTTTTTCACAGTTTGCTACTTCGCAGCACGGCATCAGCTCTGGAGATCCCCGTTAGCGCTGGGTATCAGGGAGGTCCAGCAGGCCTCTTGCGTAGGCTGGACAGATAAAGTCCCTAGGCTGCCTCTTGCGAGAGACGGATCGTGGAAGAGCGATGCCGTATCCAAAAGCAGGGTCAGCCGGGGAGGCCCGGTGAGAGGTGAGACGGTGACCCTCTCTGGGAGCAGCTGTAGCGTCGCGCGCTTGGGTCCTCTCCAGCTCCTGGCGTGGGAAGGCCTGGGCCCCACTTGCCACCTCGGGCCTCAACAGGGCAGGCAGAGCTGGATGCGAGGTCACTGCTGGCGTTTGGGTTGGGGAAATCGCACCAGTCTGCCCCAGGGAGGTCTTCTCTGGGCATCAGCACTAGGGGGATCAGGCAGAGAGAGGTCTAGAGGGGGAAAAACTGCGATACCTTATTAGATTAGTTCAGACAGAAAGAATGTGACCTGCTGTTTTACTCGCATTGCTGCAGGGAGGAAGGGGAAAGGGTCAAACCCACTGTGAGAGAAATGAACCCCCAACTCACATCCCCAAGCCTTGAGGTGCTGCCGTGGCCCTTGGGGTGCACCCAAGACCTGACTGGAGGGTCTCCCTGCGTGGGCAGCAATGTCTCATGGGCGCCGAGCCTCCCACGCTGGGAGGCAGCCCTCGATTCCCCAGAGGCCTGGTAAGACTGCTGAGGGCGGCCAAGACTCCCCACGTTCTGCTCGAGTGTCTGCTCTCTTCCAGCACAGAGGCAGAACTCACACGTTGCCTTCCATATGCGCCACGTTAAGGAAGTCATAACTCAAGGAGCAGCTTCCCAGCCGGCCTCTGCAGTAGCCAGTTTGCTACGGTCAAGGAGGGCCTTTCCGGGCCTTAAATGTGTTTCCTTGCCCACTTTTGGGGATGGTCTTTGGCAGGGTCTAAAGGATCGAGCAGATGGCAGCTGTCCCCTGCCCTCGATGCTCTTACAGCCATGTGAGCAATGCCCTTGCTCGCGTGGCAGGCCGAGGGCCTTGGTCACAGCGGAGGTGAGAAGCCCTGAAGCGCTCGTGATTCTGCAACAGCGTTGGCAGCGAACAGGCTCAGTAGGAAGTCAAGGGAGGGCAAGACCTTACAGAAAGAGGGGAGGGCCAAATTTATTTGTAGCGCATCTTTGAAACAAATTTCTCAATTAGAAAAAAAAATATCTATGGGTGGAAGACATGCGTATGTTTTAGTGGTTTTGCCTTGTGCTGTAAGGATCCAGCACAGTGTCCCAGATGGTGTTTTCACTGAGACCAGAAAGATGATCAGGGCCACCTTGGAGTTTGACCTGAAGGAAAATCCATCGGCAGATAACAGGTGAGTGGAAGCAGGTATCCTCTGACAAAAATGACCATGTTTTGTTGTGATTGATGCGCTGGCTCTTGTAATCGCCTTTCACTAAATGTCCCGCTCCTGCTGCTGAGGATAATACGAAGGGTCTCTGCCTCCTTCCTATGTTGGTGCAGGACGGCAGCTTTGGGGAATGACCAGTGAGCCGCCTCCCAGGAGCTCCCTCCTCCCTCTGGCACTCAGGTCTCACTTTCCAAGGAGATAGAGCTTGCTCTTGAAAGAGCCTCAGTGGAGAAGTTAATAAAAATCAAACATTATATATCATAATCCACATTGGAGCAAGTTCCCTTGCTTCACTGCCTGGCTTTAAGGCTGAAAGGGTTCCGGAGCTGTTAGACTGCACGTGCTTTGGAGGCAGGCACTGAGCAAATAAAACTGCATCTGCTCTATAAGACAGGATTTTTTTTTTTTATAGAAAGTGCAGTACTGTTTTATTGTTACTCAAACAGAGATTTCTTTTTATGAGCCATAAACGACATTCAGGTGTAGCACAGTGACTTTAAATCAGATCCTCTGGCAGCCATCTAGATAATGTACTGCAAGAAGCGCCTAACACGCTAACTGGCCTGTTTCTCCTTTGGCTAATTCATGGTTTCAATGTTGCTGACTTTAGATACTAGCCTTTGATGAGTTCACTGAGCATAAAAGCCATTGGAAGTTACTTAGAAGCAAGAAATAAGTCAGCTGTGAGCAATATTTAAGCACGTGTCCACGACAGCGCTGCCAAAGCCTGATCTTAGTCGGCTTGAGAGCTCCTTGATGAGGCGCGTTGGACTGGCGCTAGGTGCTTTGTGAACCGGCGCTTCGCCCCGCGTGGAGCAGAGGTAGCGTCTCGAGCACAAGCAGGGGTGGATGGAGGGGGATTAGGTTGTGTTTGTTCCCACCTCGGGGTGGGGGAAGCCCAGCACAGGCTTCTCGCTTCGCGTCTCTGTGACTCCGTGCGGCTAAGGAGCTTCGGAGCCAGAAGCTGCTCTGAGTTACACAGCGGAGTTAAAGCAGGATAATGCTGTTGATTTGAAGGGAACTATCCAGGATTTGCTGAGCTTTTTATAAGTAGGATCAGGAATGCTAGCAATAATCCTGTGCAAATGTACGTATGTGCATGTGCATCGTTAGTGCAATGCAATGTAATTCCCGGCCTACAGCCGTATATAAAGCTGGAATAATGGCAGCAAAACAGATAATTATATGAACCTGCTTTTGCAAAAGCACTTGCATTACATGGTCATGGTTATGATATGATTCAAACTAGGCTTACAAAGAGCCTGTGATGGACAATCCAGCTGTAATCCAAAAATGCTGCCGGCATTTCTAACGCCCACAGTCATGCACAGAGCACTTTCCATTTTGCTGGCAGCTCTTTGCCAACAGTTCACATTTTTTTCTGCTCTTTTAATGAGGATTTCAATCTGTTTGTTTTTCCAGGATTATGTGGGATACGTGCAATGGCCTTGATCCCGTAAATGTTATAACCTGCTAGCACCAACACGACATCGGCGTCCTGGTGGTGCTGTGAAACCACTCAGTGCTAAGGCTGGAGCACTGCGGGCTGAGTCCCCACCTCCAAGCGCTGCTGAGAAATCCCACAGCCATTTCACTGAGGAGCAGAGAATGAAGGGGAGCGAGACATGAAAAGCTGACACTAGGTGATAAAATAAGAAATCTTTAACAAGATTAAAAAAAAAAAAAAAGGTGCCGGGAGCCAGGAACCCAACTAGATCCTCTGCAGATGCAAACAGGCTTTGCTCCAATACAAAGTATGAGCTCAGTGCGACTCAGCAGATCCCCTTTAGCAGAGAACTTGGGCCTATGTGTCAGATACGTTTTGACATTAGCTGGTTTTAAGCCAACTTTAATGATGGATGGTTTTACTCTACTCTGTTATTGGGGAGCGAGGGGGGAACAAAATGCCGTCATGTTTGCTGTCTGTACAGTGCTATTTCCAGATGAAAGAAAAAGAGTTAAATTACACTTTAACAGAACAACACCGACAACAGCAAAGGTCAGGAAACTTTTAAGTAAGGTCACCCTATCGATTGCAACAGTGAAAGGATTGACATCAAATATTTTGCCATGAAAAGCTGAAAAGAAGTAAATTCAGCATGATATATTGAAACCTAAGTCGCTTTCATGTGTTGCACAACGTCTGACATAGCAGATTTACTGTTCAAGCTGAGATATGTTGCCTTGCCAACATATATTCTAAG